CAAAATAAGTTATTTCCTCTAATATGTACAATAGAGAACATGGTAAGTACAGGCTGTTATAAAACAGCTGTAATCTAGAAAATAAAAGCCTGTTTGTGCTTCAGCTCCTCCTCTATTGTTATGATAAAAGTCATTCTGCGTCTGTAAAACATTACTATCAGAAATGACTGAAAATATGTGCAACCTTCAGGGTTTAATAATGCAGAACTTTAAAAATGGGGGAAAAAGTGTTAAATGATTGACAAATCTGAGATTAAAATAGAGCCAAATAAGCTGAAATATGTTTTTGGCGGCGCTGGTGGAAGCTAACAGAAGCATTTGGGATTTCAACCTGCAGCACAGCTTTACACACTTATCTCTGCTGAGGAGAAAATATGGAGCCTGGGGAAGCAGCACTCCTCTTAGCGATCAAATTACCATCTCTGAAAAGACCTCCTGCTGGGAAAGTGAAGAAAATGAAGAGAGTTTGCTGTCTGCTGTTGATTAACCTGTAAAATGAAGAGACCTTAGACTCTGATGGCAGGAATGTGAAAGTCTGAACTCTCCGTAGCTTTTCTACAGGCGTCAGAGATTTGATGAAGAGTACTTGAAGAAGGAAAATGAGGAGTTGGACCATCTGTAGAGAAATAAAAGTTACTCTGGCTGCAGCGATGAATGTTTTAGGTAAGGAAAAGCAGCCATTCACCCAAAGGAACATTATTCACTATTATCATAATTATTACAACACTCAGTTACATTTAACGGGACAAAATAGAGTGGAGGGTTAAAATGGTGATAATGTTCAGGCCTCAGGAGTTCTGGTTCAGTTTAAAGCAGCATAGGATCTGAAACTACATCTAAAGCTTTGCTCTCTTAGCTCCAAAGCTGTGAATCAGAGGAGAAACCATGGACAGAAAAAAACAGGAGCCATTGTTCTCTTGTGAAAAATCCCAAACTGATTCCACATATAAAGTATATCAGTGGAACAAAATGTGTTGGTTTCTCTCCCTCCACTCCACTAGGGGGCTCTACACTTTATCAAACCACAGTCATTATATACATTGGCTGCGTTTAAATGTATGGGATGCGTCATTAGAAGGCAAGATTCGTCTGTCGATTACGTCGCGGCGCCGAGGTCTGTTCGGATTCCAAGACTCCTCGTTATGCGACCTTAAAATGCGTCCTTCTTTTAGCCCGATTTGAAGGACGGGTCCGATGTATCTTCCGTAGCCTTGGCTATCCCAGGATTCATTGCGAGACCAAGCAAGCCGGCTGCTCCGTGATCAGAGGAAAAAGGGAAATGGCGCCAAACAGTGGTGAAAATTGGAACTTTAGTTTATTATAATCCAGTCTGTGAATAGTTCCGTCTGAAATGAATGAAAATAGTTGTTTTAATGGTTATAGAGTCAGATATGTGGCGGTAATGTTTGATTTATCTAAAGGTTTTTATCTGTTAAATGGGTTTGGCTGGAATTTAAGGGCAGATTCTAAAAGCTGATAGGATTTAAATTTTTTATTGCTGTTTTGCACGATATGCTTAACTAAGTATTTTTTGCTGTTGAATATTGGAGATTTAGCAGATATATTTTTATACATACATTATTTAGATTTACTTACATATTTCTACTCCTTTTATAGAATAAAATTGAACAAAATAGAAAATCCTTTTATTGTCCCACAATGGGGAAATTCTGGTGTTTACAGCACAAAAAGAATTTAGAAAAAAATGGTCACACAAATGTGGACCTTAGAAAAATGTATAAGAATAACATAATAGGGAAGAGTTAAAATATAAACATTAAAATTCTGTAAAGTGTTTTAACAATATAAACCTGGATAATAAATAACCAATATGCAGCTATGGACATTTTTACAGTAATGGATATTTGAAAATAGCAGCAACATCAGAGATGTGCAGAATGACAGCAGCCGGTTATTTAACTGACTAAGGTTTCTATCATTACATTTGATTTGAGTTGTTCCTGCTCCTGGTGGTTGGAACCTTTATTCCACTCTGGATTAAATCAGTGTAGTCTCGTTTACTTTACAATAAAAATAAAAATGGAAAACAATCAGTTTTGAAAAGTTCAGTATTCATTCTTTTCCTGCTTTGTGTGTCAACTCTGAGGGTTGCTAAGCAACAGAGCATACGGCAGTGAAAGCCACGGCAGGCTGGACCTGTTTGAATTCACAGCCAAAACTCCTCCAGCTCCTTATTTCCAGGATCCAGTCCAGGTTGACCGCGTCCTTGAAGGGATCCAGTCCAGGTAGACCGCGTCCTTGGAAGGATCGAGTCCAGGTAGACCGCGTCCTTGAAGGGATCCAATCCAGGTAGACCGCGTCCTTGGGAGGATCCAATCAAGGTAGACCGCGTCCTTGGGAGGATCCAATCCAGGTAGACCGCGTCCTTGGAAGGATCCAGTACAGATAAACCACGTCCTTGAAGGGATCCAGTCCAGGTAGACCGCGTCCTTGAAGGGATCCAGTCCAGGTAGACCGCGTCCTTGGAGGGATCCAGTCCAGGTAGACCGCGTCCTTGGAAAGGTCCAGTCCAGTTAGACCGCGTCCTTGGAGGGATCCAGTCCAGGTAGACCGCGTCCTTGGAAGGATCCAGTCCAGGTAAACCACGTCCTTGAAGGGATCCAGTCCAGGTAGACCGCGTCCTTGAAGGGATCCAGTCCAGGTAGACCGCGTCCTTGGAAGGATCCAGTCCAGGTAGACCGCGTCTTTGGAGGGATCCAGTCCAGGTAGACCGCGTCCTTGGAAGGGTCCAGTCTATAAATTCGAAAGCAGTCATTGACCACTCATTACGGTCTGGAGCTCATTCTGCATGGCCGCCATGTTGGATGGGTCTCTCCAAGCATCTGGTGTAAACACACAGAGCCAGCTGCTCTGCCTGTGTTTGTTTGGTTTACAGCTGGAATAACAGGATTAGCAGGATTGAAAGAAATTCCCACAGGATTAACTCTCACATCTTAGGCTTAAAGGTATAGTGGATGATCTCTTATTTCCTGGTGGATCATCTAAATAAGTGGCCCTCCTAGCTGTCAATCATTCTGGTGATATGTTTATGTAAGGCCATCCTATGTGCTCGTCCTGTTGGCCGTCTTTTTTCTTTCAGGCCTGTTAGCTACAGTTTCAGTCATTGAAGCTCAGCTTTCTCACTGCCGTTCTTTGAAAATGGCCGAGGGTTGGATGAGTGTCAACGAAGTGGATGAGAAGAAAAGAAAGGCATCAGAAGAGGCAGATATATCCCAGAATGAAGATATATCCCTATTGGTGTGTTCTACTTACAAAAATGGCAACATTGGGTTTTTTGGGAGGATCCTGTAGGTGATGTGTTAAGGTATAGTGATAAAGGCAATATTTCAACATTTATGTCTATATGCAGCTTTTAAAACAAATGAGACCCCAGTTTGTTTTAGTGGTGTGGGTAATTTTGGCCTTACTGGAAATATTAGAATGAGGCAAAAGCCAACATCAAGGGGTTAATAAAGAATAATTATCATAAAGTGTGTGACTGCATCAACTCGTTACTGGATGATCAGATTGGGATGTTCTAGATCTATAAACTCTGGACACGGATGGACCGACCGAAGCTTGGCTTGGTGACCCGGAACGGCACCAACACCTCAGAACCCAAACAAGAGAAGATCCGTTTCATGGAGTCAAACCTCAGAAAGCAGAGCGGATCTAGAACGGTCATCAGGGTTTAAGTTCAACAACGTTTCTCTGATAGATATTCCAAAAAAAGAAAATCAAAATCAATCCACTGGACTTTGTTTTCAAGTTTGAAGACGTTTCTCTTCCATCCAGGAAGATTTTTCAATCCAAAATGTCAGAAATAGCGTTTAGTTCCAGGTTTTATCCAGCAGCCCAACAAAGCCTGGTTTTAGTTTAGAAAACAAGCAAATAGAAACGGATGAACGGGTCCCCCCCTTTGGAATGGGGGTTGCTTGGCTTCTTAGTTAGCCTGCAATGCCCCATACCTGTCTATGTCTCTGAAAGGGGGGTCGTTAGAGGGAATTGTTGGCCTGGATGAACAGGCGTAACAAGACAGATAGTTTATTTGACTATGTCAGCCGTTTCTCTTCTTTATTTAAACATTTTTCTTCTTTTTTTCTCTCAATTAAAGTAAAAGATACAGAGAAGTTATTCCATCTTTTGTGTCAAACATCAGAAACCAGGTCATGATCAGACAGACTCTCCTGCTCAGCGCTGAACTTTATTTATCATTCAGACAAGTTAACATTACTACACGTATAATAAATAAATTACATCTGAGTATTTGGATCTTTGGAGGAAATAGAGCAAACAGTTTACAGAAGCAGAGAAAGTCCTGGTCTGGTTCTGCATTTAAGAACCAAAGGTCCGCTTCCCCGATCAGAACCTCTGATGACAGAATGGATGACTCGTCAAAAAAATGTAATTTATCAGGATGTAGAGAAAATGTTGAATCTTATCAGAGTGATTTAAATCTCAGGTTTCTAATAAAAACAACAGAAAAAATGTTTGATTAAACAAAACAAAGCCAAGAAAGCTGAGTCCAGTTCTGCCTTCGATGGAGCTGCTTCCTTTGAAGCAGAGGATTATGGGACGTCTGCCTCGACATCAGGCTGTTGCCGTCCATCAACCGGAAGGACTTTAAGGACGTTGTCAAACTTTAGTTTTAGAATCTAAACAGAGATGTTAGGTGATTAAACCATCAGGCACCTCTCACTCAGCATGGCACGGTGGAGGAGGGATGATGATCTTCCTTTGAAGCTCCTGAAACCTTTCAGCGCTGAAATGTCTGCCCCAAAGTCCAGCCTGGAGGAAACCGTCCAGGGGTCAACGAGGTCAAGTTAAACAAGAGGAAAATCTTCCTCCTGAAGGGAACAAGCAGCTGAAGGCGGCTGGATCAACTCTTTTGGCTTCATTTTAGATCATGAACAGACTGCACTGCAAAAACGATCCACAAATAAGTCATTATTTCTTATATTAACTGCATTTACCCTTTAATTACCGTAAGCAGGTAAATGAGATTATTTGTCAATGGAATTAATATTTTTACTGTTAGAACAAGATAATTAGATATTATGCATTTGAAATAAGATGAAGAAATATTCTTTTCTTATTTTAAATGTAAATTGTCCTATTCCTTTGGCAAAGTGTCAGAAAACACACTGATTTTAAGGGGAAATTATTTATTTAGATTTCTGTTTTTTGCAGTGTGGAATCTGTCAGGTCAGATTAAAATAAGGTTTTATGCTCTGATTCATGACTTAAACATACATCAGGTAGACTGGACTGTTTTTTTCCCTCTGACGCGTAAAATCGCTCTAAAGACATGAAAGAAGACAGAATGGGACAGCAGAGAAAGCAGAAATCATGAGGTTTGTTGGAGTCTGTAGAAGGCCTTCATCCCGTCTGACGTGCAGCCTCAGCAGAGCAGGAGAGGATGGGGCAGAGATGCTGGTCTCATACTGGAAACCAGCTGAGTAGGTCGGGGGGGCATCGTGACAGCAGCTACCTGTAAAACACAAACCCAGCAGACATGGGTCACCCAGAAGGACACAGCAGCTCCCCCCCACTGATCCCACCGAGGCATAACCTCAGCTCTCACTGGAAGCTGGGCGCCGCTTCTTTTCTCAAATATTAATTGGTACAAATTGTCAAAGAGTCACAGGTTATGGGAGGTAATTTATGATTAGTGGTGGACGGCAGAGTTTTAATTAAGTCCAGGCCAGAGTTCAGAGTGCTCGGGATGGAAGTGGTTCATTAATCACCAACGAGCAGAACCGCCCAGAACATGAAAGGCTAACGTGCATCACTTTTATCTGAATTACCTTTAATTACTGTCTGGTTGGAAACCTCCAGCTGAGGAGAGGACAGCAGAAAGGATCCCTTCCATCCAAAAATCATCTTTATTAAGAAGATTTGGCTTCTAACATTTTTATTAAACATAAAAAACTGTGATTGAAATGAGAAAAAAAATAAAAATAAATCCACTTAATCTCCCAGAACTAAAATGTTTCTGCTATTTACAACCAAACAGCTCCTGCTAATAAAGCTGAGAGGACATCATGGTGACGATGATGACATGTGTTTCTGTCTAATGATAGCAAACAGCGGCTCTGACACGTGTCTCTGCAGATAACAGCTGACTTTAGAGAAGCTTTAGTTAATCAGGAAGCTGAGGAACGGCTCTCTTTGTATGCTGATGTCAGAGCTCCATGTTTAAGATTCAACAGGAAGTTCCTCTGGAGGCTGGAGGAGTCAGAGATCATGACCAGCTAACAGCTGTTTACTGTTAGCACGTCAGGAAAGCATTAGATCAAGTCCATGAGGCAGACGCCCTGTAGGCTTCAGGTTATCCTGAGCTATCTCTATAGTTCTGCTGCTATAGGCTTAGACTGCTGGAGGACATAGGGACCCCTTTTTCATCATTCTGCTTCATTCTATCTCTATTCTCCCACTCTGCAGAATCTGTTAGTTCAATCTCTAACGTTCTGCTCTCTCTGCTTTTTCTCATAGTAGCTTCATCTGGTCTGTTCCTGTTTGGCTGTGACTCCATCCTGGAGAGAAATATCAGCTGTGCTGCTGCCATCAACACCTTTGTTTCTAGATGTTGGAGGTTGGCCTGTTTTCCAGTGTAGTCCTGTTTCTCTGACTGTGCCTAATTGCTCACACTGAGCCTGGTTCTGCTGGAGGTTTCTTCCTGTTCAAAGGGAGTTTTTCCTCTCCACTGTCACTACAAGCATGCTTAGTGTGAGGGATTGCTGAAGAGTCAATGAGTCGATGCAATCAGCTGGTTTTCCTTAGATAGAAAACTTTGAACCAATCAGACTGGATGATGTGGTGAACTGGAAAGTGTCTTCAGATGACATGTGTTGAGAATTGGCGTCATAGAAATAAACTGAATAGAACTGAATTGAATAGCTTGTGTTGCTAAATGCATTAGCTCCAAAACAAAGCCAGAGTGAAACATCCCTGATCCGAATCCTGTTGTTTAGGATAAACCGATCGCATCGTTCAGAAGGTCCAGCTCTGCTATAGGGTCAGTCAGCATAAACAAACTGGTGTTTGTCTTTGGACCATTGGCAGTCCTTAAAGGACGACTCACCCCCTAAACAATTATGACATCATCATAATTCTAACAATGCACTGCACATTTGCAGTCCTACATCTAAAACTGTCTATTTGGTGCCATCCTCTGGTTTAAACAGGGTTACTACGCCTGATTTGTTTTAGCGTTTGCTTCCCTGTTATTGTGATGTAACCCCGAGAAGCTGCAGTCAGCAGTAATGGGCGGGGTTATAAAAATGCCTACGAGACGAATGGAGAGGGTTGAGTTTTAATGTTTCCTCTCATCTACATATAAAACTGACACCAACTGACCACTCAGACTATTCAGAAATAGTTTATATCATTATTACATCATACTGATACAGGCTGTAGGTTAACACCACATCATGTCTCCAACAAACAACACATTCAAACCAAATAACGCCTAAAATATTAGAGATGGCTCTGAAAAGCGATTGCCTTATGCGGATAGTGAAGTTGGAGAAATGAAAAGCTGCTTCTGAGTAAAACAGGATGAACAACTGTGATGCAGGGAAAGTAAGTATGAGGAGGTGAGAAAAGGGCGAGAGGGAGAAAACAGAGAGTGCCGGAGGGAGAGGAAGAGTGATGAAAGGATTATGAAGTTTGACAGAAGAATGAACATGGCTGCACTGCAGCGGCTGTCCATGCAAAGACCCCAGGCGTCCGTCTGACTGCTGCCCGTCTGCACAGTGTTGCAGTGCTGAACACCTGGAAGCAGGTCGGTTCAGGAGGGCAGAGGTTAGGCTGAACAGCCATTTTCTCTTACTGGTGGCAAGTCTGACATAGTGGAGACATTTATTTTGGAATGTAAGCTTGTATGAGCGACGCAACTTTTAAACAGAGCGTGCATGAGGAGAAATGGGCTTGTGTTTAGGAGCGGGTACAGGGTTCTGCATGACAAAAATCCTCCACTATACCTTTAAGGACAGCTGTATATATATATATATATGTATATACACTCACCGGCCACTTTATTAGGTACCCCATGCTAGTAGTGGGTTGGACCCCCTTTTGCCTTCAGAACTGCCTCAATTCTTTGTGGCATAGATTCAACAAGGTGCTGGAAGCATTCCTCAGGGAGTTTGGTCCATATTGACATGATGGCATCACACAGTTGCCGCAGATTTGTCGGCTGCACATCCATGATACGAATCTCCCGTTCCACCACATCCAAAAGATGCTATATTGGATTGAGATCTGGTGACTGTGGAGGCCATTTGAGTACAGTGAACTCATTGTCATGTTCAAGAAACCAGTCTGAGATGATTCCAGCTTTATGACATGGCGCATTATCCTGCTGAAAGTAGCCATCAGAAGTTGGGTACATTGTGGTCATAAAGGGATGGACGCGGTCAGCAACAATACTCAGGTAGGCTGTGGCGTTGCAATGATGCTCAATTGGTACCAAGGGGCCCAAAGAGTGCCAAGAAAATATTCCCCACACCATGACACCACCACCACCAGCCTGAACCGTTGATACAACGCAGGATGGATCCATGCTTTCATGTTGTAGATGCCAAATTCTGACCCTACCATCTGAATGTCGCAGCAGAAATCGAGACTCATCAGACCAGGCAACGTTTTTCCAATCTTCTATTGTCCAATTTCGATGAGCTTGTGCAAATTTTAGCCTCAGTTTCCTGTTCTTAGCTGAAAGGAGTGGCACCCGGTGTGGTCTTCTGCTGCTGTAGCCCATCTGCCTCAAAGTTCGACGTACTGTGCGTTCAGAGATGCTCTTCTATTATTATTATTATTTGAGTCACTGTTGCCCTTCTATCAGCTCGAACCAGTCTGGCCATTCTCCTCTGACCTCTGGCATCAACAAGGCATTTCCGCCCACAGAACTGCCGCTCACTGGATGTTTTTTCTTTTTCGGACCATTATCTGTAAACCCTAGAGATGGCTGTGCGTGAAAATCCCAGTAGATCAGCAGTTTCTGAAATACTCAGACCAGCCCTTATGGCACCAACAATCATGCCACGTTCAAAGTCACTCAAATCACCTTTCTTCCACATACTGATGCTCGGTTTGAACTGCAGGAGATTGTCTTGACCATGTCTACATGACTAAATGCTGAGTTGCGGCCATGTGATTGGCTGCTTAGAGATTAAGTGTTAACGAGCAATTGGACAGGTGTACCTAATAAAGTGGCCGGTGAGTGTATATGCCCCTTCCGCAGACACTCTGCTGCACCTCTCCAAAACCGTAGGTGACCGCAGACAGTGCTGCAAACAGGAGCCATCTGATTGGTCAGATCTACATCCGCTCTACACGATACGTATTTCCTGTTTGGTTACTTACCGCCTTGTTCTGTTTGTCTGACCGCCATTGTGGAAAACGACTGGTGAAGATGGAGCAGCTAGCAGAGCGAGGTAAGAACGCTGGGACCCTTTTCCTACCTGGAGCCCCGCTCTTTTTGGCCCTCATGTCCCTCCGTTGTCGCACAAACTTGCCCCCACTTCCTCACCGCCTCGGTCGTATCTAGACCCACAGCTAGTTCCTGATTGTCCCTCTGGCGTTGTGGCGTGGAATTACAGCGCAGACAACGCTTCAATATTGGGCAGAAATCAAAACTATCTATGACACGCTGCTGCAGGAGGAGAACCACACCTTTAGGCTGTACGCTAGCCGAAAGGAAGGAGGCTGAGGACTAGTGAGAGCAACAGCCACTTTCCAGGATGAAATATCCAAGATCCATAAGTACATCAAGGACAAGGCTCCAACAGACGACGTCCTCACTGAATGTCTTAGTCAATGGGGAACAGAAGCTGCCAGAGATTTCTTAATGGGAGGATAAGCTCCTATACGGGATTTAGCGTCGGAAAATAATCGAAGTGGCAGATATCAAGAAATCCTACCAATGGCTAGCCAAAGCCGGACTGAAGGACAGCACAGAGGCACTCATCATGGCTGCAGGTGCAGACTGTCAAAGAGGCCCCTGAGATAATCCAGCACATAACTGCAGGGTGGAAGATGCTGGCAGGGAAAGCTTACATGGAGTGCTATGACCAAGCATCTGGAATAGTATACAGGTACATCTGTGCAGAGTATGGACTGGAAACCCCAAGGTCAAAGTGGGAAACACCTCCAAAGACTGTAGAGAATGACTAAGTCAAGATCCTGTGGGACTTCCAGGTACAGACGGACTGAATGGTGATGGCAAACCAACCGGACATTGTGGTGTTGGACAAAATGCAGAGGAAAGCCATGGTGGTTGACATACCAATACCAAGTGACTGCAACATCAGGCTAAAGGAACATGTAAAACTAGAGAAATACCAGGGGCTAAGAGAAGAGCTGGAGAAAACATGGAAGGTCAAAGCATCGGTGGTGCCCTCGGGGCAGTGGCCCCCAGACTGGAGTGGTTACAGTAGATCCCTGGAAATACATCAGACATCTCGGTCCAGAAGAGGAACAGCTAAG